TGTGGTAAAATAGCTGAGAACGGCCGGATTGAAGCTGACTTATGTTCTGCCTGAGCTGACTTAACTGCCTAAACGCCCACTCTCGGGCATACTCGGGCAAATTTCCTTTCACTCCTATTTACTCATTTTATCATTAAACTAACTAGGATTTTCAAGGTTTCTGTAGAATTCTTAGGATTACCACGTATTCAAGGTTGAAAATCTTTTGTGGTCAATAGCTGAGAACGGCCGGAATGAAATTGACTTATGTTCCCATGACATATAAGTCCGTGTTCTATCACAAAAGTTTTTCTTTCTTTCTAAAAATACAGCAAGAACGTTAAAATATTTTACCTTAAAATTTCAGCAAATTTCGTGGTTCAAACAACGAGAAAAATATTGCAGAAAAGCACATAATTGGATAATTGGACCAAACGTAGCTGTATGCCAGAGAGTGGGCGTTTAAGCTGTTTTCACTCAGAGAATGCTCGTTTTGCAGATGTTTGCAGATTGTTATGGTAAAATCAGTGAAAGGAAATACTTTCCAACCCAAAATAACAGTAAACGAGAAAATCAACTCTAGAAAAACTTACTTTATATGTTTTAAGGAAATCCAAAACTTGAGAAGCTGTTGGACGATCAATACGTTGAAAATTAGTGCATCTGATAATGGATTCTTAAAATGTAAAGGAAAAACTAAAATCCAAACTTCAAGATGATTTCTTGAATTTCTGATTGACATTCAGGTGATTCGATTTCAGTAACACGTTTGAGGCCAATATCTAATACAAGCTCATCTCTGTTGAATCCCCCTTCTGGCCCATAATTCAAGAAGATTGTTCTAAAGCGATTCGTTTTTTTTTTGGGTGGGATACAACCCTTCAATATTGAATCTTTAATTTGCGTTACATCTATGCGTATGTTGGTGGTTTGTTTCATAAAATCTTTCAAATAAATACCTCCTTTCAATGATCTCCCACACGACCAAGCCAAGGCTGTAAACATCGTTTCGATCGGAATCCTGAAGTTTATTTAAAATGATAAAGGTACATAATCAAACTCGAATATCTGGATCCTTGATTTGATCATAAACATCCCGTATATGATTATCAATCAACTCGGGTGGACTCATATATCGTTGTGTTCCCACAAGCGTCCCCGTAACAGTTCCATCTCCCAATACTTTTACCAATCCAAAGTCACCAATCTTCAGCTGGTATTCATTGGTCACAAAAATGCTATAAATGAATTAAACTTCGACATTTATACCACTGAATATTACTTGTCTGGTTTGACATCTCGATGTACCAAACTGTGTTTCTGATACATGTGATCAATGGCATCAAATAATTGGATTCCCCAGATGAGAACAGTGTTCATTGAATATGTAATTGTTCGATCAAGAATCACTGAAGTCTAAAATATAACCAGAACAGTCCAATCCCAACCTTTCTTGAGTGGTCCCTTCTGACAATATTCCATTACAATTCCCAACTCCCTTCCATTCTCTTCTGTATATAACATTCTCACTACATTTGCATGATGAACGGCCTTCAATGTTTCACATTCCTTCTTGAACATTTCATGATCTTTGTCATTTTGAATTCTTTTTATCACAGCTGGGCTAAAGAATGAGTCCATTAATTTCGATATCGTATTTCTTCTAATATGTATAAGTAAAGCTTTAGTCTTACCAATAACCATATTGTTCTTCACTATGAAAAGTATTTGTTTGCAAGCTTTGAGTTTCATAGTTGAGAGAATTTAAAAATGAAAGCTACCAAAAGTTGTGGAGTACCTGATGGGTACCTGAAAACCTCAAAGGTGGGTCCTTTTGTCATGAATGTGTTAAACGACAATAAAGAACATATTATTTGTTATCATTTCATGTGTATGTATAATACAGCCTCTTTTCTTTTATACACTGTATTTTTCAATCAAATAACCAACGGTTTGTGTCCCTCCAATTCATACACATTCCCCATTGCTCCTCGACCAATAAATCGTTCTTTTAATCCCTGGTTTGTTGCCATAGTTTATCGTGGGCCGCTGAAACTGCAAACGTCCCTGGCAATAAAAATAATTTCAGAATAAATTAAAGTTTATAGTTAAAATGAAGAGCAAAAAACTTTGGCAGAATAATACTAAAGGCTCAGCAAAAAGAAATGCTATGGATAATAGATATGGAGATAGATTATTATATTGACTGGTCAGAAGGTGGAAAATTATTATATTGAAGATTGGTAGATCTAGTTTTGACATTCTTACAAGATTTGCTTATTTAAAGCGTGCAATAGTCTTGTGAAGAAAATTTTCGCAAAAGAATGGAACAAAAACCTTAGCTGTTTCTTTTCATATTGATTGAATGTAGTGAATGAAAAAAGATAAAGGGCCAGCTCGGCTTGTTTCACTTTTCGGAGCCAATTTCAATGTCAAGGCTTTGACTCTGCCCAAAAGCATCATTCTTCGGCATGAAAATCCTCAGTGGACGAATGGTGTGAAGGATTTTAATCAAATCGGATCGATATTATACAAAGAGACGATAAAATTCGAAAAATCAGAGCCGCTTATTTCTCGTCAAATGAAAAGTTGAAATCAAAATGGAACGGTATTAAAGTGCCGAAAATTCAAAGTGGAGATCTAAATGATATTTAAGTAATTCTTCGCTCTACTCTATTCTCATATTGATTGATTCTGGTTTTGGGAGAAGCTAGAGGAAACATTTTACCTGATTAGGCGTTGTTGGTCCTTTCTCGATTCCGGTGATCGATTCTTCGCACCTTCCTCTTGCACGAATTCCTAAATCAAAGCATTAAATAAAATCAAGAAATAAAAGAAAAACGAACGAAACAAACAAAAAACAACAAATCCTACATTTTTTACAGAAGAAAAGATAGACTTCAAAGATTGGATTAGTAAAATAAAAAAGTCTGGAAATTGGGAAGTCGGGAAGACCAAGATTAGGATACAGAGCAATAAGCATTTTTTTCTTTGTTTTTTTTTAGTAACTTTTTATCTTCAACTACTACTTCCAGCTTCTCCTGTTGGTTGGTGGCTTGCAATTATTGATAGCAGAATTTTTAAATTTTTTTCTATGAAATTCTTGGACTAAAGTCAAGTTTAAAATAAACAAAAGTATTAAATGAATTAATGAGATTGAGTTGATTGAGATTCAGCTTTTTTTCAGCGTACAAAAATGGTAAAAAAAGCTGGTATTCAGCTGGTATTACTTGATCACAGCTGGGCTAAACAAAGAAGCTAAACAATCCAACCTCGATAAAAGACTAAATATTGAACATAGCAGTGAATAGATCCAAAGTAACGAACGGTTTGTGTCCTTCCAATTCATTCACTTCCCCATTGCTCCACTCCCATAACGTTCATCAAATTGATTGGATGTTGATGGGATCTTCTTGTGTCACGACCGGCTGCCCGTGCAACAACTGTCGATCTTTATGTGAATTTCTCTTAATGGCTCGGCAAATTGTCGACTCTGAGTGGATTTTCAGTTGCTTTTTCACTTCATTGATCGTTTTTCCTTGATCTTTAGGAAAATTTGATCGCCATCCTTTCATTTTGGATCGAACATCCGTTTGACTGATTATTAAGGGAATCCAAAAACAGAATGGCTTGAGTTTAACATACTGACCGAATGCAGCTTCCTATAACCAATTCACTAGCCAACGCGAGAAGCTGGAAGTAGTAGTTGAAGATAAAAAGTTACTAAAAAAAAGACGAAGAAAAAATGCTTATTGCTCTGTATCCTAAACTTAGTCTTCCCGACTTCCCAATTTCCAGAGTCTTTATTTTACTAATCCAATTTTTGAGGTGTATCCATCTTTATGCCACTTCTTTTTTGCCTTTTTCTTCAAAGCAATAAAATGTTTATCGAAATTGCACGCCCTTCATTCTTGAAATGTTCACAAAAACGTCCATAATTAAGAAATCCTCATCGTCCAATTTGTCAAAGGAATCATTCAGGGAAATGTCAAATGGATGGATTTAAAAAAATGAAGAGATGGTCAGATTTACCTAAAGCATTGCACATTCCAGTATGTGAAGTCACGGAAAATGAGGCTTTGGTTCTGGAAAGTTACATGCGTTGTATAGGATCTGATGGAGTTCTGACTTTTGGTCTCATGAAACGTCCACTTTTGTTTCTTTGCTGTCTAGATCTCTTAGATATTCCATTTTTGATTCTCTTGGATCATCCAAATAATTATGAAAATGGGGAAAGCATTCCTGGATTGGATTTAAAGAAGAAACTTCATAATTATGAGGTTGGAGTATTAAGAGAATACTTTCAAGAGTTAAAGTTTAATAAAAGGAAAATTTTCTATGCTTTGATCAAGAGTGATGAATGGACACCCTACATCCGCTGGATTGACTATCAAGGGAATCCACTAACAGGATGGCTTGCCTTTGAGGAGTTGAATTCGGCTGTCTATGACCACCAAAAAACGTAGGGCTTTGCGACCTTGCGCAGCAGCCTGCAGTAGAGCGTCTATGGTGTGATGTAGAAGGATTTGGATTGCGGTTGACATCCATGAGTGTTCACTTTTTGCATTATATTTGAAAGATTCAATTTCCAGATTGATTCAAAAACAAGCACTGTAGAAGAAGACCCCAACGTCAAGCTAGTAAAAAATTTCCGGAAGATGATCCACAGGTTAGGAGTTTTCTTACGCGAAACCTTAGATCATGATATTGTGAAATACTCTGAAAAATACTCTTGAAAACTCTTTGCTATAAGGGTTTTGTTTAGATACAAAAATGCTCTGGAAGAAAAACGCAATGTAATTTTGGGGTATGAGTGAAGGGGAAGGCTAGGGCGGGGACACCGTCCACTTCGATTCGATTTCACGCCACCGAGTCTTTCTTTCGATTTTCCTATAACTTTTATCAACAACACCAAAAAAACCGACGAGATGTGAAAAAAGGAAGAAAAGGAAAGAAAACTTCCATAACAAAAAGCAAAACTCAAAAACAACACAAATTTCATTCATTTTTTAACACTGATTATGGTGGTAACTTACTTTTGTCATCCCAGCTGTTATGCTTTTAAACAAGTTATTTGATAGTGGTAAACTTTACAAGGATTTTTTAAATATCAGATCTCCCAATCCTCGGAAATCATCTCGTTATCCGAGGCGGAGGCCAAGGTCAAAGGATGGTTGGACGAGAAGAACAAACTCGGAATCGGCGGCTATGCCACCGTCTATAAGGTCCCCGAAGGGCGATCGTTTTCCGTGTGAGTACTAGATGCTAAATAGAGTAGACACCCAAAGAATTCTTGAACTTGAGATCTCTATCCTTGAGAGAATAGATTACCCTTTTGACTTGCAATTCCATTGCTAAAATTATCTCAATTCAGCAAAATGGTCCTCAAATAGTTTTCATCGGAAAATTTGAATTGGCGAGAATCCTTCGACAAAGAGCTTCGAACTTTGCAAAACCATAAGCACAAGCTCATCGTGCAATACTTTGGTTAGGTGACGAAGAGCGGGGAGGAAAGCGAGAAAATCGGGATCATCATGGAAATGGCGGCGAGGCAATCATTGAAAGAGGGTTCGTTCTTGAATTTTAAGCCAAGAAAAAAGCCTTTGCTCAAGGGTTCAAGGACAAAATTTAAGAATTCTAGACGTCTAAACCTATGTTTGATTCGATTTTTCAGCTTTTGAAATAGTATTTTTCAGCAAACTTTAGTTATCTAAACGAGTATTCGATCTACACGGTGATTTGCTGGATGGAGCAGTTCTTTTCGGCCTTGGAATTTCTTGAAAAGATCGGCCAATTGCATCGAGATATCAAGCCGGACAAGTGAGCTCTTTAAAATAATCAAATTCAATTTTAAAGCATTCAGTATCCTTGTGCAACAGTTCTACTATCTCATTCTCGCGGATTTTCGCCTAACCAGATCGACCTGGAGTGTGGGCAAAGAGGGAGCCACAGGGGACTTTGTGGGCACCGAAAGGTGCATGTGCCCCGAGATTCACGATCCACTCGTTGAGAAGGTAAAAATGCCCAGCTTTTTGCTTTTCTAATGATCTGTATTACAAGATATAATATGTTGCTGTAATGCGTTGAAAATTTGGTTGACCTTTAAGCAATTTTTAGGTCACTTTCGCCAGCGAGATTTACTACGAGAAATACAGAAAAGTGCTCACCTTTTCAATTTATTAATAAACGTGCGCCGTTTTTGAGGAACTTCTCGAGACTTCCATTGGTGCATAACTCGGTCGCAATATACAAACAGCCACTGAATTCCGAAAAGTTACAGACAATGTATTTCAGATTTCTCGGCTAATAACTTTAAAAATTCGGTTTTTTGTGTTAAATCTTGTAGCTACTACGGAAAATAAATACGTTTCCATACTCAACTTCAATTATCAAAAAAAAAATTGATTTAAAACACTAACCAATCAAAATAACATCCATTACAATCAATGCGCTTTTGCCAGCAGATGGTAAGTTTTTCAATTCCATGTATGCAGAAGTCAGAAGTTCTAGAGTTGATAAAAGCGTCAATGGCATTTTGAACCTCCGCCGCATCCTTGGATATTTGGTCTCTCAGAAAGCAATCAAGGTGCCTAAATAAGTCATAATCAGTTGGCGATAGGTCTGGTGAATAGGCTGGATGAGCTAGGACTTCGATGCTTATATTATTGAGTGCCCTGAGTGTCATTACAGAGACGTGAGGGCCCTCGTTGTCCTGCAGCAGGATAGGGCTTTTTCCATCAAACAACGGGGGGTTCAAAACCTGCAACTTTGAGTGCATCTCCTTGATTTGTCGCACGTCGTTCACTCCGAATCGATGCTTTGATTGAATAGTGTATCACTCCATTCTTCTACCACCAAATCGACAACATGAGCTTCTTTGGGTGGAGATCCGATTTTGGAAAAGAAGTCGGATTCTTATGTTTCTCAAAGTATTTTTCACAAGTTTTCTTTTTAAACAGGTAATTTCTAAAACAGGCTTTCTTCTTGGAAGCCCAATCATTCACACAGATATACACAGCTAGAGTTAAATATTCGAACTTAGCTTATCCTAACTACACTATGGGTAGATTTAAACATATAGGTAGATAACTAAAAACATACAGGCCTAGAAAGTCTCTCTGTGGTAATCATGCCCTTATCTGGCTGATCATATAATCTGGGTATTTATATTTTTATATTCTCAGAAGCAATTTCTCCATAGAGCTAACCGTTGTCCCTTGAGTAAACAGCTAATCCTTGAAGATTCAGCTCTGAACTGAGCTCTGTGAAACATTACATCTATTCACACTTATCATTTGGCAGAGTTTATTTGTTTTTAAGCCTTTGAGTTAAGTTTTTAACTTAAGCCCTTACTAATGAAGACACATCGAAGAGCCGTTGTTAAATAATCAGAATGAACAAAGAGCCAAATTTGAATTTTTCAAGTTATATTGCAAGATAGGATTAGCCGAGACAACAAAAAAAATATTATTTGGCTGCGTTTGAAAAGAGCCAGGGTCTTGAACAAGGAAGGCCTTATCTCTTGCTCTTACTCACTCGCCATACCAAATGCCACATGTGATCCTGAACTAGTCTTTCTGAAAACGTCTTTGTTCAACAATTAAGGAGGGAAACCTTTTCGATTTGTTTTAGTGCTATTTTTGGGGGCGTAAGATGAATTTTTCCTTGGAAAAAAAAGCGTCGCGGTGAATGACTGCATCTACCCATTCATGCTGAAATATGATATTGACTTGATTGATTGATCAAAATTTGTATCATCAAGAAAAATTGATGATGTTTTGTAGTTGTTTTGTAAACTGCGTTCACTTTCGAGAAACCAGCCACCATGGTGTGCAAGGATGGATCATACAGCGGTCCCCAAAAAGATTACAAACGGATTTTTTTGAAAAAGTTGAAGTGGCTAGAGGTGGCATTCCTGGTGTCAAAACGGTTTTTTCTGTGTCTCGATTTTTTGACTTTTTTTGAGAATTTTTTGATTTTATGACTCCTCTATTCGTGAAATTTCTGAGCCACGATGGTCACCACCATCATATGGGCCACCACCATGAAACCTTTGAAGCATCATTGACAAAAGTTTCTTTTTAGAGTTTATTTTCTTTTAAAGGGCGATTCCGGCACCAAAAGTGATTTCCTAGAACCACGACTATTTGTATACCAATCGACGCGTTTCAGTCTCCTCTACAAGGATTGCATAAAGAAAAACCTTGAAAACACTAAAAACCCCGAAAAACTATGAAAAACTGTCAAAAAATGCGTTTGGGAGTCTAAAATGCAATGTGACGGAACCTTTATATACGAGAATTAATTCTACCGTAGTTTTCGTCTAGTTTTTTTGTTTGGCTTGAAAGCTATTTAAGAAAATAGTTTTTTTGATTTCAATGTTCTATAAGTTGTTTGAAAACGATTACGAAAATCATACTATCAGTCAATTCGAAACAAATATTTCCGCAATTTTCGATGACTCCTAAAGCGTAGAACGATTGGGAGGTGTTAATCAAAAACTTGGTGTTTTCATTAGCTTTCGTTAATGAAAGAATAAAATAAAATTCTACATATCCGCAAGGACCTTCGCCTCGGCGAATCGCTCCTTGAAAAATCTAATGAAAAACCAAAAAAACAAAAGCCACATGAAAACGGACTCGGATTCGATTCGAACCGTCGAGGGGTGACCTCTTTGGTATGAACACTAACCACTCGGCCAAACCGGTAGCGGGTCCACGCTCGCCGAGAATGGCTTATAATGGTTCGAAGCCAAAATCGGATTTCGCTTAGGACCGGAATACCCCTTTAAAGCGCAAAATGTTTCACTTCCAAAATAAAAAAAGGTTCTAAAAAATGTTTACCGAGTATTAACAAATTTCTGGGCTTGAAACCAACCGAGAAAGTATTATCCCATGTTTGGAAAAGCAACTCATTCAAGGTTTTAAGTCCATTGCTGTTAATACATTGCCGACCGCGCATCTTTTGCGAAACCAGGATCAGAAATTTGCTAGGAATGAGGGTTTAAAAGACTCTCGAAGCCGGATCCAGCCTTAAAGTTAGGCCAACACACTCCATATAGTTCATTCTCACAGTTTTAATTATTTTATTTTATACGCTAATTTCTAGTAATTACCTTCTCAATAAATTAATGCTATATGTACCTGTGTCAGAATTTCCTTTAGAACTGTTTTGAGCCTTCAAAAATTAATGATTACCTTAGAAAACCCAATTTTTTAAGGCTGAAACAACATTAAAGTATCTGAAACTATTAGAAACCATTCTTTGCAAAACGTAGTCCCAGGGGAGTCGAACCAACCCTTTTAGAGTCTCAGATTGGCCTCGCGCGCCTTAGACCACTTAGCCATAGACTCCGAAGTAACACCCGGTTTTTCCGCTTTACGAAAAATCACACAACTTCCTAATAAAACTAACGTCCGATTCGGATAGAAGACCCAAACTTACAGGCTCTTGCAAGTTTTGAGCTTATTTGATCCAGGGATTCACGAGCAATTCACGAGTAAAGTTTCGATGATGAGATATATATTGGAGGCAATAAAATCAGACTACAAGGTTACGGTAGTAAGGAAAAAATGGTATCTATACACATCTTCTCTCGAGTCGTGGTTGCAAGAAAAACGAAAAAATTTGTATGCGAGAAAGGTGGGATTTACAAGATTTGATCGCGAAGTATATTGCAGAGTTCAAAACGTGACCATAAAGAAAACCAAAGCTACAGCAAAGGAAAAGTACCATTTTGAAGAAAAGTTTCCCAATCACACATCTAGATCCCAAAAACACAGTTCGGCACTCAATTCTTTTCATATTTCCCCATTTTCATGAATACACCGGTTCTCCTGTTATTGTTTCCTTCCATTTACGGGTTTCCTTCATTTATTGGCACTCATTCGTTCTTTTCTCATCGTTGCTTGGACATTTGTGAATTTTATAAAAATCCATTTTTCTCTGCGTCTAGTAATAACATATCAATGAGAATAATAAATTTATTTGACTATGGATGTAAATGAATATCTACAGAACGAAAACATCCCAAGGATAGCACTAAACCAAATCGAAGGGGTTTCTTTCGTTAATCGTTGAAAAAAGAGAGTTTCAGAAAGACAGATTCAAGATCAAATTTGGCTATTTGATATGGCGAGTGAATAAGAGATAAGGCCTTCTTTGTTCAAGACCTCGACTTTTTTCAAACGCAGCCCAGTAATATTTTATCTTGATTCGACTAATCCTATCTTGCAATATAATTTGAAAAATTCAATTTTGGCTCTTTGTTCATTTTGGTTATTTGACCACGGCTCTTCGATTTATCTTCATTAATAAGGTCCTCGACTTAAAAGCTTAACTCAAGGACTTAAAAACAAATAGACTCTGCCAAATGATAAGACAAATGCCAAATGATAATAGATGTAATGTTTCACAGAGCTCAGTTCAGAGCTGAATCTTCAAGGATCAGCTATTTAGTCTAGACACAACGGTTAGCTGTATGGAGAAATTGCTTCGATAAAATCGAGAGATAAGGTCTTCTTTGTTCAAGACCCTGGCTCTTTTCAAACGCAGCCAAATAACATTTTTTTGTTGACTCGACCAATCCTATCTTGCAATATAACTTGAAATTCAATTTTGGTTCTTTGTACATTCTGATTGTTTAACCACCGCTCTTTGATATATCTTCCTTAGTAAGGGCTTTGAGTTCAAAACTTAACTCGAAAACTTAAAAGCAAATAAACTTTACCAAATGATCACTGTAGCTAGATTTAGTGTTTCGCAGAGCTCAGTTTAGAGCTGAGCCTTCAAGGATTAGCGTCTTAATCTAGGCACAACTGTTAACTGTATAGAGAGATTGTCGAATCCTTTCGCGAATTCTCTCCTTGCCACCTCAGCACTGCTGCAAGCCTTGATCGTAAAGTCGGCCAGTTCGCTTGCTGAGATTTCGGCAATCGTTTGCTCCAGTTGAAAGTGGAGAAGCGCTTCACGGAAAGGACAATTACACTTGATGTGAGCCACTAAATTACTAAAATGAATCTGGCTCGAAAAATGGTATTTCAATGAGTTCGAAGACATGAATCGAGCTCCCTAAAGTCGACATTGATGATAGTGGAATCTATGAATGTATTGGAAAGAATTGAGCGGGAGAAGTGAGACGAACCATCACTTCAAGGTCTAAACACTGGAGTTTCACAATTTCGTCTTCGTGCTCGTTAAGAAGCGGTGACAAATCCAACACAAGGACATTTTTCTCGTTTTCACTTTTTAATGATAGAAATCGTAGTAAAGATACGAATAGATGCCACTTTTTCCGTGTACACAATGTAGATAGAAGATCTCAAGTTCACATTGTGGGGCAATAAAAGTGCAAACAGCTCTAATGAGCGGACATTTGACCTCTGTGCGAAAACGAAAGCTCACGGGAATTTCGTGCCTTTCCCTAGTTAGCATTCACTCATTAGGGAACGGTCAGATTTCATAAGCGCGAATCCGAACCAAAGCTATATGACTTATGCAAGTCGGGCACGCGAAACACGATGGCGTTAAAATATTAAAATAAAATTTAAATTAAATTAAATTAAAATTAAAAAATAAAGAACATTAAAATAATTATAATCAAATGAAGCTTATAGGGCTCGTTTCAGGCTTTCAGAATCACCATCACACTTCTCGTCTTTTTTTGGAAATTTTGGGTCTCCATTCAACGGGCATTCTAACACTTGGCTTTCTCTAACTTCTATGTGAATTTTCTCAGTTTCGTTGACCAGCAATACAGGTGCTATCATTTCATTCATCCAAGGTTTAGTGGTAATTTCATGTGCTTAAATCGTTTCAAACCTAAACTCCGATTGTTTTATTGAACTCCTGTTCGATTTCAATCTTTCTTGCCATGCAAATGTCGTCACCGAAGTTGTGCATCGAAATGTTCTACAAGTTTTCATAGATCAATGGTCTATTAAATAGTTAAGATATTAAAAAAGATCTGAAAAGGTAAAAGTCCTTGTAAAAAAGAATTTTTCTATAGGGAATTAGTCTAATTAGTTCAATAATAAAATTGACTTTGAGAAAAGCCAACCTTAATGTTAATTTTTAGAAGCAGTGAGTCTCTATGAACAGTTTGCTCAATATGACTGCGAGCCAGCACTATCTTGTCGTACATCCAGAAGATGGTGCTGAAAACGAAAAAATTGAGAACTCTTTTGTTAGCCAACACGTCGGCCTGCACTCTGTGGATTCGGCAAAACAAAGTGATATGGCAAAAGAATTCGAAAGAAAAGCTAACCCTGGCAAAAAAAACTAAAAATGTTTTTCACAGCGAAGCTGTCATGTATTAGACGCTTTGTTCTTTCGGCAAAAAAATTACGCCGTAATCTATCAATCAACGAATCGAAACATAGACTTCAAGTGTGCTATATTGTCAACGTGAATATCTAGACTGTATATAAGATATGCCATCGATGCCATTAAAATTGTTTTATTAGTTGGAATGCTTTGGATTGATGTGCAGAATTAGCACAACAAGCGAGATGAAGCCACAATCTTATGTTGAAATTTCCCGAGATGGTTTATAGAAAAAAGCCTTTCAGTTTTAGTAGTTAAAAAGATTACTACAATAATCGCATTTTCTGTTCGAATTTCTCTTTGCTATGTATTGGTTCCGATTCCTCCACGACAACACAAAGCCACGGCAAAAGTCACTCAGAAAAGAAATCGAAGAGCTTGGCTGGAAATTGTTTGCCCGCGCCCCTTACTCGTTTCACCTAGCACCATCAGATTACTTTTTGTTTCGGTCTTTGAAACATTTTTTGGAGCGAGAAAAGTTCGATGATGACGCTCAGGTCATAAAAGCACTCAACTCATACTTCACCTCCACCACTCCTCAGTTTTTCGTGAATGGGATCCGGTACTTGCGCCAAGTCATCGATAAAATGGGATGAGAAGAAGTCATCCATAAAAATGACTCTTTTGGATTAAAGTCTTGTGTTTTTTTTTCACAACGGCGACTTCAAGCCTTTAAAAGTCGATCTTAAGCGCATTTCTCCAAATTCCCACTATGAAACTCGTGATCTACGCAAAAACTACCCCAGAAAAACTGGATTTGGAAAAAATTTAGTGCCCCCCAACCCCACAAGTACCAATACTATTATATGTTATTAAAAGTCTACCTAATATATAACATACTTAAAATCGTCTTGCAAACAAAAAAACCTTTTGGTCGCGGTCCTTTAATGGCTGGGGATCAATGTTTATAGTTTCCTCAATTCCAGAATTCATCGGGCATCTCAAGAAAAAAAATATATTCCATAGATCAAAAGATAACAATAGAAACTAGAAAAGAAAAAGAATCAACACAAATCCAAACATGTCGCGGTGAAATAATGAAATGATTTTTTGCAAGGCAAAATGAAAGAGGCTGCTTTACGTCGAAAAACTATTCAGCCAAGCATTTGTGATATTTGACGAGACTCAAAAGCGTATTACTTACTTATAAATGCAAATTTGATGGTTTTGGTCTATTTTTGCTGGTTGAATCTCTTTAAATTGTGGATCGGGTGGACCCGTAAATTCAAATTTTTCGGGTCGGGTCGGGCCAACTTCTGACCCGACCCAGTTTCCCACGTCTAGTGCACAAAGGGTTCAAATAACCTCAGTGAGCCTCAGTAGCCCGTTTGTCGAAGCGTTTGCTGGAAAAATGTGTTCGCAAGACGGGCCTCGTTAATAATATTTAAACGCAGTCAAATAATATTTCTTTGTTGTCTCGGCCAATTCTATTTAGCAATATAAATTGAATTTGGATTTTGTTCTTTCTATATTTTGATTGTTGAACCACGGCCCTTCGATTTGTCTGTATTAGTAAGGGCTTCGACTTAGAAACTTAACTCAAGGACTTAAAATCAAATAAACTCTGCCAAATGAAAAGTGTAACTAGATTTAGTCTTTCGCAGAGCTCAGTTCAGAGCTGAATCTTCAAGGATTATCTGTTTACTCAAGGCACAACGGCTAGCTGTATGGAGAAATTGTTGAATCCTTTCGCGAATTCTCTCATTGCCACCTCGGCACCGCTGTTAACCTTGATCATGAAGTCGGCCAGTTCGCTTTCAGAGATGTCGGTAATCGTTTGCTCCAGTTGAAAGTGACTAAGCGCTTCAGGGAAAACGTTGAGCACGGTATCCTATTTCTCGGCGGCCGATTAACTCAAAAGAACATATTTAATCAGCTCCTAAATCAACATCTGGGCGCGGTGGGTGGGTCACTCACTCCACTAATCAACAAAAAGATGCTACAATTCCACCAGAATATGTTTTTATGCAAATTTCCCCCCTTTTTAAACCACAACTACAGTACTTCGACGTGAGAAAGGGCGTAAAATCAAATACAGTCTTTGAGCTAGTAAACCCTATGCATTTTGTGGAAACCAAAGTATATTTTGTATACCAAATCATACTAAATTATACACAAATTACAGGGCTTCGACGTAAAATGAAATAGAATTTTTGCGACAGTAAACATTAAATGTATAAAACTAGATTTTGTTGTGATGATAGTTATGATTGTTGTTAGCAGAATTCTCGAAGCGCTCTGGAACTAAAGGCAAATTTAAGAACGAAAGTATTTAATGAACTAATAATCTGCCCATTTTACAGGCAATTTGCGGATTCCTCTTTCTGCGTAGGTTTTTGTGAGACAAGTGGGAGACTCAAAAATAGAGAACTCGAGATGTCCCAGTTTGAGCACTTTCTTCAAAAGAAACCGATTTTGGTGTCAATAGAAAAGTTGTAGAGAATCAAAAATTAGGCTTATAGCCAAATTTCCAAAAAGATACACTTAGTAGTTTCGCTTAAAATGCAAGTTTTGTGAAAAGTCGTAAATTTGGCATTTCTTGAAAACCAGTTTTTGAATCATTCTGAAAACTTGGATGTAAGCTTAGTTTTTGATTCTCTACAACTCTTCCATCGACACCAAAATGGGCTTCTTTTGGAGAAAGTGCTCAAACTGTCACATATGACAATAGCCGGCAGTTTTCAATTCACCAACCCGATAGATTCAAGCTAGATACATACGTTTCATTAAATAGAATAGTCTTTGTCTAGAAGTTTGCTGACCTGACTTCTCGAAAGCTTACAACTTTCCGCACTAAATAAAGTGCACCTGATTTAAGCGGCCGATGACTACCGGAGTAAAATGCTACAATTGACGCCTATCCATACCGTTTACGTCATTGTAAACATGGATCAATCGGGTTTTGCAAAGGAGTTATTTTCACCGCGAACATTAGCGTCAATTGGAGTAAAGACTGTCAAAAGAATCATCAAATCCTCCTCGGCTATCACACATAAGTAAGTGAAATTAAAATGACTATATTAGATAAAATTAAAGGTACCCAGTCATATCGGTCAGCCTTCACTCATCAGTTGTCTCTGTGAGAATCCACTGTGGATGAATGATCATCCCGCCACAATAATAGCTCAAATCACTGAAGCTTATGCTTTGTTTTTGGAAAAATGCAAACGGAATGCCACTTACTCTAGCAGAGCTCAAACGTAAAGCACAAAAATAGGCAAATGTAGAGTTTGTACATTTCTTTACACTGAACACGGGCTGAGCAGCTTTTATGGGGGAATCGAGTGAATGAGATGAAAATTGTGAAAACTGACTGTACCAGAAAAAAAAATTGTAGAATTTGAAGTGTGTAGAACCATTTGAAGGGTTTTCTTGATTCATGTGCTGCATAAACCATGCAGCACAAATGCTATTTGCTATCAGCACAAATGCTTTTTAAATTCTTCTACAATTTTATCGTGAGCATTTGAGAATGTTTATGTTCGTTCGTCGGCCTCCTTTCTGCAGATCAGATACCCAAACGTGTCGCATCGAAAATCATTCCATTTCGGCGAGTGATCGAACTGAAAAGGAAAGTAGTGGAATTTTACAACAAACAAAAACATGAACACAAAATTCGTCGCCGGTTTGATTATCCGGCTGAGCGGGTCCCCAGTTTGCGTATTTGTACACTCGATTCCCATCCGACCACTGCCATTGGTAGCAAACAACAAAAAAGGAATCACAAAGCTCGTTTCTCTAAATTCACGAAAATTCCTAGTTTCTTTAAAAATTTACAAAATTTTACCATTTTCAACCCAATCCACGGATTCGGGACACCGGATTGATTCGCGAACTCTGGAAATATGTCCGATTTGGGTGAAAATCTCGGTTCTCGTCAAGGGATTTCGTGGTAGTTTGTATAAATAAAAGCAATTATTGTAAAAATTTCAAAGAACTCATTTCTGAGTTAGAAAATCAGGGGAAAACAAACTGAAATATTCTTCATTTTCCTGGTCATCGATGATCGTCAGCGATTTCCCGCCGCTCGCCACGCAATCGGCTTTTGCGACATCATACGTTGTCCCGTCAACTAACTAAAAAGGTGTTTCGTTTCGTTTTCATTGTAAAGCAGTTGAATATGGAGTTGTTAGCTCAAAATTGAATTTGGAATTGTTAGATCAAGGTTGAATATGGAATTGTTAGCTTAAAAATGAGTAACCAAAACAACCGAACATCTCGGCTGAATAACTTTAGATTTGAGGTGAAAACGCGAAGTTATTCAGTCGAGCTTGTAATCGACTATCTTACGGTATAGCTTCTGTAAACGCTATTCGTTAAACTGTCAAACCTTAAGACAACAATCACAGAACTCGTTGTACTTCCAAAACGCGCCCGAACACGTGCCGTTCACTGGGCTTTCTGCACACAAACATTGAGCTAAACGTTGTTGTTTTCTATGTTTTTACAAAACTCATAAAAATTAGACAAACCTGTAAACAGTACAAAGAAAAATGCAAAAGTTTTATTGATAAGCATTTGTTGAAAATCTCGTGATTCTAGGCTTTTTAACGTTTTCTTCGTTGCTTTGTTTATTTTACAGTCTTCTTTTTTCTTGCTCAATTTCTAAACAATTAGTCAGTGTGTCAACTGTCAAATGTTCAAAAGTCAAGGCGTTTTTTAGTTGTTTATTCTTAAAATTGAAATAAACACAACAAAAATTGAATTCAAGAATGTCTTTGTCTGTCATATCTTAACTCTAATTTGAGAAAATGTGACTAGTTTCTTGATTTTTTTTATACATTTTTTACAGAAGAAATATTTCCCATTTTTCACAACCAAATCCCAATAACACAGCTCAGCACTCACTTGCTTCCATATTTCCCCCATTTTTATGAATACACCGGTTATCCTCTTATTGTTTCCTTCATTTATTAGCACTCATTCTTTTCTTCTCATCGTTGCTTGGACATTTCTGAATTTTGCAGACTTTTCTTTTTCTCTGCGTTTAGTAATAACATATCAATGAGAATAATAAATTTATTTGATTATGGGTGTAAATGAATATCTACAGAATGAAAAAGAAATAGAAATCCATTTCAAAATGAGAGAAAGTAGTGGAAAAACTAAAACTAACCGATAACTAGCTTGGAACCAATTGACCATTTTTCATCTTTAAGAATAAGTTTGAAAATGTGTATGAAGATTATATAAGTTTCATAAAATTCAAAAATTGGACCAGTAAAATAAAAACGGAAATTGGAAAGTCTGGAAGATTAGGGCTAGGATAAAGAGCAAGCAACTTTTTTTCTTTTTCTTTCTTCCTCCAGTTCGTTAAACTTAAGCCATTCTGTCTCTGGCTTCCCTTGATAATCAATTAAGCGGATGTAAGGTGTTCATTTTCCACTCTTGATCAAAACATAGACCCTCGCATTGAGCTTAGACTTTTGAAAGTATTCTCTTAATACTCCAACATCAATATTATGGATTTTCCTCTTGAAATCCAATCCAGGAATACTTTCCCCATTTTCATAATTATTTGGATGATCCAGGAGAATCAAAAATGGAATATCTAAGAGATTTTGACAGCAAAAAAATAGAAATGCGTGCCTCATGGACACAAAACAAAAAGTCCGATCTCTATCAGATCCTATACAATCCAGGTAACTGTCCAAAAACCAAACCTCATTTTCCTTGATTTTACCACATACTGGAAAGTGCAATTCTTTAGGTAAATCTGATAGTCTTTCTTGCATCTTTCTAAACCCATCCATTTGACATTTCCCTGGATGATTCTTTTGACAAATTGGACAAGGAGGATTTCTTAATTGGAATATGTAGTGGGGGGGAGGGATGGGCCTCATAAAATATTTTATATTCAGAAGATGCATCGAGAAGTGATTCAATATTAAATGGAACATTATTCTTCTCCGAATCTTCTATTGAAATCAGATGTTTTAAGTTGAATTTTATGAACATTTCTATTCTTTTTTGTTGTCTTTTAAATGCCGCAATTATTCGTTCCTGAGGGATTTGTTCATAATGGGAGAAATGAAGCAATTCATTTTTTTTGTCTTCATGTTCAATTTCATAGCTCTGGATTTCCCTTTTTGGATTGTCGACCCATTTTCCTGGTATTTCTTTCCATAATTTAAAGTCTTCACTTACAAACCGATCCTTTTCTATATGAAGCCATCCTTCACCAGTCAATTGAGAAATAAAACATCGAAAATAGAAATTTGTGGTGTATTTCTTTCTTTTTATTCCTTTCAAACTGTCAATCCGAATCTCACACCACCTCCAATTGACGAAATTTGATATCCAAATCTCCTCGTGACTTTTAAGACGTGCAAAAGCAAAGTTTTCGTTCTGGAGCTGTAGTACTAAATCTTCCAAAACAAACAATTCAAATATTTCATAAATATCGTATTCATGCATTTTCATTCTCAGATTTACCTCCTCTTCTTCTATCTCCAATATTTCCTCAATCCCATAACGAGCATCTTTGAATGTCTGAGTTTCTTCTTTTAATCTTGAAACAATATTTGGTGCCTCTTTGTAGAATTGCTCTCTTTCAGCAGAATTTAGTGTTCCGAGTTTATATCGCATTCTCCAACCCCAACTATCCTTCCCGAGTTTCTTTTCATATTTTCTTTCCTCTGATTCAACCATAACCCATTCTGTTCCATCATCAAATCCAATTGGTTTCATCAGCCCTTTTCGGATTTTAACTTTTCCGGGCATAAAAGGGAGCGAAGAGATGAATTGATTTGCCTAGGATATTATATTTGAGAAGTATAAAATTTCAACAAAAAGGAAACTCACTAACTATTCGGTTGGGAAGTAAGAAGTCTGGCAAATTTTTTCGTTATTCCTATTGTCTTTACCATTTACCTGAAACGAATTTTCACATTTTATGTTGAATTCTTAGGACTACCAAGTATTAAAGTTTGAAAATCTTTTGTGGTAAAATAGCTAAGAAGGGCCGGATTGAAATTGACTTCTGTTCGCAAGCCATGTAAATCCGGGTTCCATCACAAACGTCCTTCTTTCTTTCAAAATATATCAGAAAAACTTTGAAATAGTGACCCTTTAAATTTCAGCAAATTTCGTGGTTCAAACAACGAGAAAAATACGGCAGAAACGCCAGTTAGTTTGTAGAAAAGCACCTCATACTTGGGTAATGGAGCCAGAAAGCGGTATGCCAGAGAGTGGGCATTTAGGCAGTTTTCACTCAGAGAACGCTAATTTTGGAGATGTTTGTCAGCAGGTCGGCGTGAAAATCATCACCAAGAAGTGCTTTTCTAATTTTTTTAAACAGGAATTTAGCTGAAATTTTAAGGTTAACTATTTTAAAGTTCTGGCTCTATATTTTGAAAGAAAGAAGAACTTTAGTGATGGAACACGGATTTACATGCCATGTGAACATACAGTAGCGGACATAATTTTGGAAACTTTTGTTTTTTCTAAAAAAAATTTCTTAGTAAAATCTGATTCGGTATGTTTACTAGCGGAAATATGTAGACCTAAAAAGCACGTAATAATCCATAGACAGAACTGCTGAACTTTTTGAAAACTATTATTTTTAAAGCATTTATCTATAAACCCAGAGGACATAAATTTGGAAACTTTTAAAAACAACTCTAAATAATAACGTAACAAACCATTAAACTTCTAAATTAAAACAAAAACAAATAAATCAATTCAATACTTTGTGAAAGATCCTTTAGAATCAATAATAGTCTGGCACCGAGCGCTCATCGAAGCGACCAAGTTGTCGATGGTTGTTGTTTGAATTTCCATCCACTTCTTAGCCAAAAGCTCGAATTTTTCATTAAGATTATGGCTCTGAACGCCTGACAGGCTTTCTCCAGAACTTCCTATAAATGTTCAATGTGGTTTAAATCAGAACTCTTGGCTCGGCCATTCCATAAAATAATTCCTTCCTTCTGAAACCAGTCCTTTACAAGTCGCGAAGATCAATATCCAAATATTAATACCTCCTTTCGATGATTTCCCACATAACAAGTCCCAGACTGTAGACATCATTTCGATGGGAACTCTGGAATGGATACATCATTGGATAGGAAGGAATGTAAAACTAACCAATACATCAGCCTCCCTTATTTGTTCATAAACATCCCGTTGTACCCCATCCTCCTTCATATCGGGTGTGCTCATATATCGTGGTGTTCCAATCAACTTCCCCGTAACAGTTCCATCTCCCACTACTTTTACCAATCCTAAGTCATCAATCTTCAGCTGGTATTCATTGGTCACAAAAATGCTATAAATGAATTGTACTACCACATTTATACCACTGAATATTACTTGTCTGGTTTGATATCTCGATGTACCAATTTGTGTTTCTGATACATGTCATCAATGGCACTAAATAATTGGATTCCCCAAGTGAGAACAGTGTTCATTGAATATTTAATTGTTGGATCAAGAATCACTAAACTCTAAGATATAACAATACCAGTCCAATCCCAACCTCCCTTGAGTGGTCCCTTCTGACAATATTCCATTACAATTCCCACTGTTTTCCCTTCTTCTGTATATCGATACAATCCGACAACATTGTCATGGTTGATCTTCTTCAAAGCTTCACATTCACTTTTGAAGAACTTCAATCGTTCATCACTACCACAAAGCATATATTTGATCACAGCCGGGCTAAACAAAGAAGCTTATGGTACAATGAAATCTCTACCGAAGACTTTATGTTGAGCACAGCAGTGAATAGAGCAAAAATAACTAACGGTTTGTGTCCAATCAGTTCATACACTTGCCCCATTGCTCCATTCCCAATATAACGTTCAACAAATTGATTGGATGTTGTCATTTCTCACAGATAACTTTAACCTAAAGAACTTATAATATAGAATCTAAAAGAGCAGATCAAATGAAGACTCGAGAAGCAGCTGGAAGATGAGGGCAAAAACTATTGCAAGAAAGGAATGTCTTATCTCTTTCTTCTCTCCACCCTTTGCTCATATTGATTGATTCTGGGTTTGGGAGAGGGGAGTGGGATATGGTAAAAATGAACTGAACCCGTTTAGTTCATTCAATACGCTTGAAATTTTTTCTTAAATTGGAATTTAGTCCCAGAGGGCTCTAAGAATTCTGCTAGAAATAAACCTAACCTAGCCAAATGCACAAAATAAAATTTTGAGCATTTCGTTTACTGACTCAAAACTTTTTTTGCACCCTGTTTTTGTTTGAAGCACTGTAAATGGTGGTTGAAAAAGGAGAAATGCGATTGAAAATTCATTCTAGTCTGATTGTAGCAGGTTCTTCGTGATTAGTAGAGTTATTGAAATGTTGATTTACAGTGAGGACGTATCGAAGAGCCGTGGTTTAATAATCAGAATTTACATAGAACCAAAATTGAATTTCATGTTATATTGCTGAATAGAATTGGCCGCGTCAACAAAAAAATATGATTTGGCTGCATTTGAAAAGAGTCGAGGTCTTGAACCAAGCCTTATCTCGCGCTTTTATTCACGCGCCATTTCAAATTGCAAATGGCCCAA